TACAATCGAGATGGAAAAAAAAATGTGCAAAATGATGTAAAAATAAACTTTGTAATAAAAAAACAAAAACAAAAACAAAAACTCAGCCTTCCAAATGACAGCTTAGAATCCAAAGTGGGCATTTCATTTCTCTCCTGCTTCTTGGATTCCCCAACTTCCAAATTCCATGCCTCATCACTTTTTATTTATTTTGCACGGTGCCAGTTATCAATTGATTGTTTCTCCGATATAAATTCATATTTCACAGGCTCATGAAAATAGATCTGGGCCTTTCAGTGCTGTGACGCAAAGCGGTGTCAGTAGAAAGGACTAGAGAGAACACCAGGAAGAAGAGGCCCCTCTCCCCGGCACAATGGCTCATTTGCTTGGTTCTTTGAGAATGTATTTTTACTCAGTGCTCACACTAGATACTTTTTCCACTGCAAAATGCCTGAAAATGGCTGGTTTCATGTTTTCTTCAGCTCTTGACTAAGGGAATAAGAGTGCATCTGGGAATTTGAGGCTGCAAGAGACGCTCCCCCAAAGTTGTCTCATTCAGTTTTGCTATTGCAAAGACAGTACATTCTGCCCTTGTGTTCAAAGCTTGCCACTGGGGCTTCCCTGCCACTCTGGGGGGAACTCCCAGCATACCCCACACCTTATTCAGCACCATGGCCCCTCACACAAGTCTGTTCTTCCCTCAGCCTTAGGATGCTGCTTGCTTCTCCCAGTCCATATTCAGTTCTTCTATTATTGCTCACCAATTCTCTACTTAAATCCCCCTGTGAATGACTCTGGTTTCATCTGCTGGCATCCAGACCACTGCACACATGGACTCCTCTCAGCCCCAGTAAACATATTCTTGCATGCCTAACATAGATGATCATCTTAAGAATTTATGAAAATTCAGTGGGATCTTGGTTATTACTAGCAGAAGTCCTTGCACTCTGTACTGATTTCTTAGATAAATACTATATTTTCTTTCCCCACTGGAAAAAAGCAAGAACTTATTTTTCACTTTTATTCTACAAAAAGTTATAATAAAAAAAATAAGGAAAAGTTATAATGTTGAGATAGGAAAGTCTCCAGAGTTTAGAACTTGGAAAACTGTAAGGAGGAGCATATTCTAGAATATTCATCTCTCTCCCCGCTCCATCTATCATCTATCTAAATAGCTCTATCATCCATCTATTCATCAATATAACTTTTCTCCTGAATCATAATGCATAAAGTCTCAAGAAAATGCTGTTACCTTCCTAACAACAGAAACCAGGTGGGCTGTAACTTCTCGAGGCCACCAGAGAGCTGAGCTCAGAAGGAAGCCAGGAAACCTGACTTCCAGAAAGTAGAAGCCTCCTCCCAGGCTAGATGGGGCCCAATAACCCCAAAGCAGCTGGCTTTCAAGGGCAGGAGATCCAGGCCTCTGGGGAAGCTCCTCAGCCCTTTACAAATAGCTGCGGTAGCATCTCCTGGAGGGCTTGAAGCAACTGCCAAGGGCCCCTGGCCCAGAGGCCATCTGTGCACCCCGTTTCCTAGGCACACTCACACGGTGGGGAGGGTGGGGAGAGACAAACAGCCACTTTCCCCAGAGAGGAGCAAACAAAGCACCTTCTCTGGGCCCAGCTCTTCCACCTTGAAAGTTGCAACAGTACTTACCACTGAGTAGGCAAAGGTTACTGCTGCGGCCAGCTGTGAGCACACATAATTGATGCGAGGCAGAGCAAGGCGGTGGCTGAAGGTAGAGGGGAGATGGGAGGACATGGGAGGGGAGATGGTAGGATAAACTAGGAAAGTCTGAAAGGCCGAAATTGCACCAAAGGATTTTCAGGTGGCAATAATATGCAACTAAAAACGAGAACAGTTACAAAGAGTAGACCCTAAACAAGGAAGTCCTGGGCCACTAATGAGTTAAAGAGGAAATCCAAAGGTGCACCAGTCACCGCAGTTCATGGAAGCCGGCGTCAGCCGCTAGCCATCCAGAGGGGACACAAACCCATCCGCCGCTGCCCTTCTCTCGCCGCGCGATGTCACTGCAGCAATATGTCCCGTTGTGTCCCTGGGCATCTCCGCGGCTTTGCTATATTAATGTTTCTGCTCGCAGTGACTTCATTTTCGCGGTTTAACTGGGTCAGGTGATTAGAGGACCGCTTGTTCTGGAAGGTGCTGCTTCTCTGAACTACTTGAGACTGAGCGATGAAGTATTTAATATTTGGAAACATCCCGTGGCTACTTAAATGTCTACCCTCTTTCTATTGGTTCGTCCATCTCGATTGGATCTTTTGAATGGAACTTTTGAATTTTCAGCATCCGTTCTAATCTTGTGTTTCTTAGGTTATTCATCACATGATAGAATTCTATGACCATTGCCCACCCTGATACTAGGTTTGCTAATTTCGTACTGTATCTCTTAGTTTTTAGCCTGAGCACATAGAGACTACGTGGCTAAATGTATGAAACTTGATTCCCTTGCTTCTGTATAGAAGGTAGATTAATGTCTCAATTCCTGTTAACAGCATAGAAACATGAAGTTTTTTTTTTTTAAATATTTGCCATTGTCGTTTTAGCTATCTTTTTATTTTTAACGTTTTTGCTGAATTTTTAAATGTTTGATGAATGCACAGGAAGTTTATAGTTGCTTTGTTTTGAGAAATCCAAGTTGATAGATCCTATATTTTAAAGAGATAATATTAATCATATATGTACATTTTTATTTTGAAGATATTTTATTGTTCTTTATTATGTTAAACCCGCTTTTTCTTTGCTTCCAGTTTTTTCTATATTCTTGTTTTGTATTGAAGTTCATAAAGTTTTTTTGCCCATGTTTTCTTTCCAATTCTTTTGCGATACATGATGTATTTATATTTCCTTACTGGCTATTCTTGATTTTTGAACTTTCCTAGGAATCTTTTTTAAAACGAAAACTTGAGATCATTTATTATCCCTACCCTCTTCATATAAAGACTTTCTGGATTCTTTACTCTCTTCTGAATTCTAACCCTGATCATCCTGGTTTCTCATTACATAGAAATTAGTTTATGTACTTACTTATATTTAGTGTAGCTGAACTGGAGTGAGTCAAATTTTCATGACTACTACTCTTCCTTGAGTGAAGCACAAAGATCTCTCATTGTCAAATTATGAAAATATCTTTAAGAGGTTAAATAGGATGGAATCCAGACAAGATCAAAGATATTGAGACAGTGACCCTAAATTTAACAGAAAATGTAATTTCTTTCACAAAAATGTCTGTGATTTCCTTTCATCATCCATCATGATGCTGAGGTTACAGATACCTAGTATGTGATCATTAAATCTACAAAACATCACAAACCTTTAGATTATGCTCATACATTGAAAAACACAATGAGAAGGCATGAGAAAATGTGCCAGATCTTTAGAAAGGGTTGGTGACCTAGAGAGGAAGCAGCAAAAGCTAGTGTGTGTGAGTTGGTAGACCGTAAAAAAAGCACTAGTGTGATAACAATTTCATCCAATTACCAAAGTAGACATACATTAGATTTACTTTTATCAAAATGTGCTGTGCACTTTCCAGGCTAGTGAAAGGAGGTTATGATATATTTGTGTTTGTGCTTAAGAAGTGAGAAATGTAGTCAACCCCACAGGAACTGGGTGTGGGTAGGTATTAACTGAATGGAGAACCCAGGACCCTCAGATTTGAGTGTAAGCCAGTTCACTGTGAAAACATCTGTTTGATTTACCTAAAATTGGCTGCAGAGAGCAGCCTTATTCTTCCATCGTGTACAGACAACCAGAAAGCAATGTCTCCAACCCAGGAATTAGCACCTTACTCCTTGCTCTGTGTTTGTGTGTGTTGAGGATTAGGCTATGCTCTTCTCTGTATTTTTTGTTGCAGTAGGAACTCAGTATACCACCCAGAAAGAGATTACCTTCATGCGTAACAAAAACGCATCCATAGCCTTAATCAACCAATACTACAAAAATATGATTTACTGGACCCCTCCTGAAAACTCAAGTATACTCAAAAGTTCTTTACTGCAGAGTAAACAGTGTCCATTAAGTAAGAGCTCCTGGAGCAATCATCTATCCCCTGGGAAGCCTGCCAGCTTGGTGACTTTGAAGATGAGTCAGAACTTGGGGCACAAAGCCAGGTGCTCCCCCTCGGGGGCTTGCAGTCAGCAGTTGGCTTTTCAGTCCTGAATCTGGAGCAAGGTTGGCTCCCTCTACTGAACGCCAAGGTGGCCAGCGATGGAAACCCCCCTGGCCTT